AGGAAGAAGTGTCCTGAGGGAGAAATGTCCTGAGGGAGAAGTGTCCTGAGGGAGAAGTTCCTGAGGGAGAGTGTCCTGAGGGACGAAGTGTCTGAGGGAGAAGTGTCCTGAGGGAGAAGTGTCCTGAGGGAGAAGTGTCCTGAGGGAGAAGTGTCCTGAGGGAGAAGTGTCCTGAGGGAGAAGTCTCCTGAGGGACAACTGTTCTGAGGGTGAAGTGTTCTGAGGGAGAAGTGTCCTGAGGGACAACTGTCCTGAGGGAGAAGTGTCCTGAGGGAGAAGTGTCCTGAGGGAGAAGTGTCCTGAGGGACAACTGTTCTGAGGGAGAAGTGTCCTGAGGGAGAACTGTTCTGAGGGAGAAGTGTCCTGAGGGAGAAGTTCTGAGGAGAAGTGTCCTGAGGGACAATGTCCTGAGGGAGAAGTGTCCTGAGGGAGAATGTCCTGAGGGAGAAGTGTCCTGAGGGACAACTGTCTGAGGGTGAAGTGTCCTGAGGGACAAAGTGTCCTGAGGGACAAGTGTCCTGAGGGAGAAGTGTCCTGAGGGAGAAGTGTCCTGAGGGAGAATGTCCTGAGGAGAACTGTCCTGAGGGAGAAGTGTCCTGAGGGAGAAGTGTTCTGAGGGAGAAGTGTCCTGAGGGAGAAGTGTCCTGAGGGACAAGTGTCCTGAGGGAGAAGTGTCCTGAGGGACAACTGTTCTGAGGGAGAAGTGTCCTGAGGGAGAAGTGTCCTGAGGGAGAAGTGTCCTGAGGGAGAAGTGTCCTGAGGGACAACTGTTCTGAGGGAGAAGTGTCCTGAGGGAGAAGTGTCCTGAGGGACAACTGTTCTGAGGGAGAAGTGTCCTGAGGGAGAAGTGTCCTGAGGGAGAAGTGTCCTGAGGGAGAAGTGTCCTGAGGGACAAGTGTCCTGAGGGAGAAGTGTCCTGAGGGAGAATGTCCTGAGGGAGAAGTACTCCTGAGGGAGAAGTGTCCTGAGGGAGAAGTGTCCTGAGGGAGAAGTGTCCTGAGGGAGAAGTGTCCTGAGGGAGAAGTGTCCTGAGGGAGAAGTGTCCTGAGGGAAGAAGTGTCCTGAGGGAGAAGGGTCCTGAGGGAGAAGTGTCCTGAGGGACAACTGTTCTGAGGGAGAAGTGTCCTGAGGGAGAAGTGTCCTGAGGGAGAAAGTGTCCTGAGGGGAGAAGTGTCCTGAGGGACAACTGTTCTGAGGGAGAAGTGTCCTGAGGGAGAAGTGTCCTGAGGGAAACTGTCCTGAGGGAGAAGTGTCCTGAGGGAGAAGTCTCCTGAGGACACTGTTTTAAGGGGTAAGTGTCCTGAGGGACAACTGTCCTGAGGGAGAAGTGTCCTGAGGGAGAAGTGTCCTGAGGGAGAAGTGTCCTGAGGGAGAAGTGTCCTGAGGGAGAAGTGTCCTGAGGGAGAAGTGTCCTGAGGGACAACTGTCCTGAGGGAGAAGTGTCCTTGAGGGAGAAGTGTCCTGAGGACAACTGTTCTGAGGGAAGAAGTGTCCTGAGGGAGAAGTGTCCTGAGGGACAACTGTCCTGAGGGAGAAGTGTCCTGATGGAGAATGTCCTGAGGGACAACTGTCTCTGAGGGAGAAGTGTCCTGAGGGAGAATGTCCTGAGGGACAACTGTTCCTGAGGGACAAGTCCTGAGGGAGAAGTGTCCTGAGGGACAACTGTCCTGAGGGAGAAGTGTCCTGAGGGAGACAGTGTCCTGAGGGAGAAGTGTCCTGAGGAGAAGTGTCCTGAGGGACAAGTGTCCTGAGGAGAAGTGTCCTAGGGAGAAGTGTCCTGAGGGAGAAGTGTCCTGAGGGACAAGTGTCCTGAGGGAGAAGTGTCCTGAGGGAGAAGTGTCCTGAGGGAGAAGTGTCCTGAGGGACAACTGTTCTGAGGGAGAAGTGTCCTGAGGGAGAAGTGTCCTGAGGGAGAAGTGTCCTGAGGAGAAGTGTTCTGAGGGAGAAGATGTCCTGAGGGAGAAAGTGTCCTGAGGGACAAGTGTCCTGAGGGAGAAGTGTCCTGAGGGAAAGTGTCCTGAGGGAGAAGTGTCCTGAGGGACAACTGTTCTGAGGGAGAAGTGTCCTGAGGGACAACTGTCCTGAGGGATAAGGTCCTGAGGGAGAAGTGTCCTGAGGGAGAAGTGTCCTGAGGGAGAAGCGTTTCTGAGGGAGAAGTGTCCTCAGGACAGTTGTCCTGAGGGAGAAGTGTCCTGAGGGAGAAGTGTCCTGAGGGAGAAGTGTCCTGAGGGACAACTGTTCTGAGGGAGAAGTGTCCTGAGGGAGAAGGGTCCTGAGGGAGAAGTGTCCTGAGGGAGAAGTGTCCTGAGGGACAACTGTCCTGAGGGAGAAGTGTCCTGAGGGAGAAGTGTCCTGAGGGAGAAGTGTCCTGAGGGACAACTGTCCTGAGGGAGAAGTGTCCTGAGGGAGAAGTGTCCTGAGGGAGAAGTGTCCTGAGGGACAACTGTTCTGAGGGAGAAGTGTCCTGAGGGACAACTGTCCTGAGGGTGAAGTGTCCTGAGGGACAACTGTTCTGAGGGAGAAGTGTCCTGAGGGACAACTGTCCTGAGGGTGAAGTGTCCTGAGGGACAACTGTTCTGAGGGAGAAGTGTCCTGAGGGAGAAGTCTCCTGAGGGACAACTGTCCTGAGGGAGAAGTGTCCTGAGGGACAACTGTCCTGAGGGAGAAGTGTCCTGAGGGAGAAGTGTCCTGAGGGACAACTGTTCTGAGGGAGAAGTGTCCTGAGGGAGAAGTGTCCTGAGGGAGAAGTGTCCTGAGGGACAACTGTTCTGAGGGAGAAGTGTCCTGAGGGAGAAGTGTCCTGAGGGAGAAGTGTCCTGAGGGACAACTGTTCTGAGGGAGAAGTGTCCTGAGGGAGAAGTGTCCTGAGGGACAACTGTTCTGAGGGAGAAGTGTCCTGAGGTAGAAGTGTCCTGAGGGACAACTGTTCTGAGGGAGAAGTGTCCTGAGGGAGAAGTGTCCTGAGGGACAACTCTGAGGGAGAAGTGTCCTGAGGGACAACTGTCCTGAGGGTGAAGTGTCCTGAGGGACAACTGTTCTGAGGGAGAAGTGTCCTGAGGGAGAAGTGTCCTGAGGGAGAAGTCTCCTGAGGGACAACTGTTCTGAGGGTGAAGTGTTCTGAGGGAGAAGTCTCCTGAGGGACAACTGTCCTGAGGGTGAAGTGTCCTGAGGGACAACTGTTCTGAGGGAGAAGTGTCCTGAGGGAGAAGTGTTCTGAGGGAGAAGTGTCCTGAGGGAGAAGTGTTCTGAGGGAGAAGTGTCCTGAGGGAGAAGTGTCCTGAGGGACAACTGTCCTGAGGGTGAAGTGTCCTGAGGGACAACTGTTCTGAGGGAGAAGTGTCCTGAGGGACAACTGTTCTGAGGGACAACTGTCCTGAGGGTGAAGTTTCCTGAGGGACAAGTGTTCTGAGGGAGAAGTGTCCTGAGGGAGAAGTGTCCTGAGGGAGAAGTGTCCTGAGGGAGAAGTGTCCTGAGGGTGAAGTGTCCTGAGGGAGAAGTGTCCTGAGGGAGAAGTGTCCTGAGGGACAACTGTTCTGAGGGAGAAGTGTCCTGAGGGACAACTGTTCTGAGGGAGAAGTGTCCTGAGGGAGTAGTGTCCTGAGGGAGAAGTGTCCTGAGGGTGAAGTGTCCTGAGGGAGAAGTGTCCTGAGGGAGAAGTGTCCTGAGGGAATTGTGCCTCTAAAGAAATGTTCCTCAGGGGAAAATGATGCCCTCAGGGAAATGGGCCACTGAGGTAAGCGCTGCTGGGAGAAAACTGCTTTTCTGTGGCTCTGAGGGAATTGGTCCTCTGAGGAGGGTGCTTCTCTGAGAGAAAAGATCCTCTGAGGGCCTTGCTCCTCTGAGGGAAATAGTGCTCTGAGAAGAAAATCTGCTCTGAGTGAGATACTCCTCTGAAGGAAATGGCCCTCTGAAGAGAATGCTGCTCTAATGGAAAGTCTCCTGTCTGTAAATGCCCTCTGAGGGATATGCCGGTCTGAGGAGAATGATGCTGTGAGAAATGATCTTTTGAGGAGAATGATGCTTTGAATGAAATGCTCCTCTGCGGGAATTGGTCCTCTAAGGAGGATGCTTCTCTGACAGAAATGCACCTCTGAGGAGAATTCTAGTCTGAGGACAAAGCCTGCTCTGAGAGCACTGTCCTGAGGGAAGTGCATCTAGGTTTTTTTTTGTTTTTAATCCTCATCTGAAGATATTTTCCGTTGATTTCACATAGAGTGGTTTGAGAGAGAGAGGGTGAGAGAGAGACACATCGACTGCTTGCTACCCACACAACCCCAACCAGGGCTGGTGACAAACCGCAACTGAGGTGTATGCCCTTGACTGGAATCGAACCTGCGACTCTGGTCTGCGGGCCAACGCTCTACTGCTGAGCTGTGGAGAGAAATGCTGTTCTGAGGGGAATGACATTCAAGTCCATCAGTGCTCTGAGTGGGTCGCTGTCCTGGGTAACCTGCAGTCCTGAGGGGAGGTGCACCGAGAGCACGCGTGCTGAGGGAGGCATTCCTGCGGGACCAGGTCCTGAGGGGAGGCGGCTCTGAAGGGAACACAGTGTGGATGGGAATGCTGTCCTTTGGGAATGTTGGTGCTCTCGGGATTGCTGACCTGAGGGGATACTGCTCTGAGCAGATGCTGTCCACAGGGGACTTTTCTGGGGAGAATTACCCGTGACTGGTGTTCTGTGCTCAGGGGAAGGCTGCCCTGAAGGGAGTGCTGCTGTGAAGGGAAGCTGTCCTGAGGGGACACTGTCTGCAGGGTGAGCCACTCCGAGGGGAAGTCGGCAAGGGGAATGATTCTGACAGGATGCTGTCCCGAGGGGAAAGGTTCTGACGTGGACTCTGTCCTGAGGAGAATGGTTCTGATGGGACACTGTTCCGAGGGCAGCAGTTCTGATGGGGATGCCATTCAAAAGGAGTGGTTCTGAAGGGGACGCTGTCCTGAAGGGATACCGGTGCTGCACAGCCAGCCACTAGGTCTGCAGTCCCCACACAAAGCCCTTGTACCTTTAACTGACGCATGTTTCTGAGCAGGATGTCCCCAATGCGCTGATGACCGCCTGTGGCATGGTTGCCAGAAGGTCCTTCCCTGGAGCAGAGATGGACAGATACGATCAAAACCTCAGGGAAGTCTACGAGATGCACTGACTGACCCAGTGTGACCGGCTGTCCTAATCACAGCCAGACCGCAGGAAGCGCTTTGAGGTGGAAGGTCCGCACTCGACAGAAATAGTCGTTACATGTCGGCCGTTCTCCAAAAGACGGGAATCCGAAGAAAACAGAGTCATCTGCTTTTAGCTAACTTTTTTCATGCTTCTGAACTAGGGTGATAAAGTGCTCCTTACATGTGTGCTGCCCATGTGAGGGTGCAGGACCTGTGGGCAGGGGGAAGGGCAGGTGTTACCAGAGTGCCAGCCTCTGCTCCACCTCACGCAGGAAGCCTCTGTGGAACTCGTAGATGGGGTCGATGTTGGAGAAGAGCAGGGTCATCAGGTCGGCAGGCATGGCATCCTCCTTAACCACTGCGCTGCGGAACCACTGCGGGGAGAGCTTAGGGTGACCAGGGGATCTCACCCCAAGGGTCTGGGGCCACAGGACACCCAGCACTGTTCCCAGAGTCCCCATGAGGACAGCTCAAATCAGTGCTATGGCATCCTCTTGACTGGCCACCCAATTTTCACAACATAAGAGAACACTTCTGGATGAAAAGCTTCCAATAGATCTATTTCCAGTTTTACAAAGAACTCGACCCAATATTTTGATCTACTTTAAACATGCTTTAAGGCAAATATATTTCACAGAACATATACATGCAGATCTCATGATGACTGAGAGGTATGTCTTAGGTGGGTTATTCCGTCTCTGGTTTAGAATTAAGAAGTATTAAGAAAATCAAAGTAATAAAAGACTCAGTTTTCATACCACGGTAATAACTTCTAGATCTTTCAGGTAAGTCCGCTCTGTAGCGAGAATCTCCTTTGCAATGAAGTAGGCCTCGTCCACTCCCGTGCACTGCAAGAAGTGGACCATGAGCACACGCCTGTCAGACACATCACAGATGTCGTGATACCCACTCTCTCCAGTTAACCTTGTCCTGTGGTTTTCCACCATAATTCCTGAAGGGATTACCTTCTGAGTGAAAATATAAGCCCAGCTGTTTCTCCTTCACATGTTTTTCTCATTTCATGTTATTCTTTCTGAGAAAAGAATTGCTGTTCGAACATCAACATCATTGAAGCTTATTATTGGTTGCGAGATAAAATTACTGTTCAGATATGACTGCCAGGTGTAGCTGGTCAACACAGACGTGTGTGTATACGTGCATACATGTGATTATAATGACTAAGCCTAACTCACAAAAAGTCATTAAATTTCCCTGGCCAGTTTTGCCCAGCGGTTAGAGCGTCGCCCTGCAGTCGAGAGACCCGGGTTTGGTTCTTGCTAAGGGCACGTACCTCGGTTGCAGTTTGTCCCTGGCCCTGGCTGGGTTGTGCAGGTGGCAACCACCCACTGTGTCCCTTTCACATCGATGTTTCTCTCTCTCTCTCTTCCTCCCACTCTATCTGAACAAAAAATGGAAAAATGTCCTCGGGTGAGGATAAAAAAAAAGTCATTAAAATGGCCAAACAGTGTACATGCTGTGCCCTGTGTTAGAGCATGAGGTTGCTGACACACTTCGAGGGCAGGTTCAGAGAAGGTCTGGCTCTGGAGCCCTTCAATCCCCATTGGGGCCTCTGCCTGACTTGCAGATGCTGGCAGGCCAGTCAGTGCTGATGGGACCCTCAGGAGCAGGAAGGGTCGCACTGTGCCCTGGGAACCGGGGCCCCACCATGCCTGGCTCTGAGCCTTCTGGCAAAGCACAGGCCTCACGCTGGGGTCAGTGGCCCCTTCTCCACCCTTCCCCAGCTGCAAGACCCCAGGCCCTGCTCCGCCCCTGCACCCTTGAGCTGTTGCTCCTCCACCAGGCTGAAGACTTAGAGGCCGACTGTCCCATCTGCCATGCAAGCACACCTAGGAAGCCCGCACCAGCCCGAAATAGGCACCTGGGGTGGGCCCAGGAACAGAGGTCCCAGCCCTTGAGCTGACAGCCTCCCAGCAGGAGACACACAAGCAGCAAGGATCGGGCTGAGGGAAGTTCCCAGCACAGCAGAGAAGTGGCCTGGATACGAAGCAGAGCAGGGGGTGGGGCAGCCAGTCTCCAGGGAGTAGACAGGCTGCCACTGGAGGGGTGGGGCTGGCTGGTGTGTGTGTGTGTGTGTGTGTGTGTGTGTGTGTGTGTGTGTCAGAGGTCAAGACCGGGAGGAAGTGGACCAGCTAGTTATTGGCAGGGAAGTCAGGGAGGGGTCTGGGGCAGTGCAGGATGGGAAGGGCTGGGGCTCCTGGAGGCCTCTTCCCACCCTGGCTGGCTGCAGGGCAGGGGTGGGACCTGGACACACTCTGAGGGCCAAGGTCTGGTGTGGGTGGAGGTGTAAGGGAGGAAGGAGGCAAGGATGACTGCAGTTCTGGGCCCAAGCCACAGGGACAGGCCGCTGACCCTGCAGGGGACAGGTCTGAGGAAGGCAGGGGGCCAGCAGAAGCAAGCTGGTGGGAGGGGGTCTGCAGCCCAGAGGGGTGGCTGGGCTGATGTTTGGGGGCCCACACCTTCTTCCCCTCCCCTCCCCCAGGTGGAGTTTAGGAGAGGTCACAACATTCTCTCAGGGGCAGCAAAGGCATAATCTTCGGGTGAGCCCTGCAGTCTGCAATGCTACTGGCTAGACCTTAGGGCATGGCCTTCTCTGGTCCCCCCTCCACTTGCCCGGAGCCCTTCAGAGTCCTGCTGTCCTTCCTCTGAGCCACGTGTGTGGAAGGTCTGCTGGCTGCTTCCCATGTCGGCACTTCCCAAATAACTGACATCTACTTGGCAGGAGCCACCGAGGGGCCTGCTCTGTGGGTCCCAGGTCTGGCCCTTCTCCCCACAGAGCAGCGGGGCCACCTTCCCAACCTACATGTTCTCCCATCATTTTCCTTTTGGGCTTCATGCTATTAAAAAAATGACTTTCAGCCCTGGCCGGTTTGGCTCAGCGGTTAGAGCGTTGGCCTGCGGTCCCGAGAGACCCAGGTTCAGTTCCCGCTAAGGGCACGTACTTCGGTTGCAGTGTGTCCCCAGCCCTGGTTGGTCGTGCGGGTGGCAGCCACTCAATGTGTCCCTTCACATCGATGTTTCTCTCTCTCTCTCTCCCTTCCTCTCTCTCCCTCCCATTCTATCTGTACAAAAAATGGAAGGATATCCTCGGGTGAGGATAAAAAAAAATTAAAAAAAATGACTTTCAAACCCAAATTGAATCCCTCTTTAAAATGTACTGTGATGTGCCCAGTGAGCTCTGTGGGGACAGGGCTGGCCCTGAGGGGCCCATGTCCTCGGGCTGGAAGCAGCCAGCTCTGGTGTGCAGCCTGCAGCAGTCCGCCTGTACTCGGCTGGGGTCCGACGAACCCTGAATGCCTGCCTGGGAAAAGGTCACGCGAGGTTCTAGACCAGGTCCTCCCTGGGGGCTGCGGGGCTCCCGGAAACTCAACCACCTCAGCATCGCTGGTGGGGTCGTGGTGGTGACACGGAGACACCACGAGCAGCGTGGTGTGGGTGGCCTGCCTGTGGAGCTGGGCAAAGGACTCTCAGGACCCGTGGAGAGCGGGCGAAGCAGCAGGCTGCACGGGGGAGACGCCCAGGAGGGACCTCGCGCCGCCGCCTGTCCCTGTGGAAAGCTGGGCTGAGCGAGGCGCCGCGGCCTCTCAGCCCCACACAAGCACCTGGAAAGGAGCTCCGTCCACCGGCAGCTTTCCCACCTTCGAGTACTGTCAGTCCTCACTGATTCTCTTGGAGAGGAGGAGAGACGGCTGTCAACGGAGGGACAGGAGGGCTCCGAGGGAGGGTGGCAGCCCCGCCCTCCGCACAGCACCGGGGGCAGCCAGGGAACAGACACGAAGGTCCTGGGCACAGCCAGGCTTGTTTGTCGTGGGGCTGAGGCACCCAGAGGCTGGCCAGGCCCTGCTGGGGAGCCATCGGGGAGCCTGGGGGTGGGGGCCTTGCTGAGGCGGCTGCTCTGAGACTGCCGGACCCCTTCTCTCAGAGGCCTGGACGGTGACGGCCAGCACCCTAGAGAACCACCTAAAGACCAACTATTTGTTAATACACAAAGTAACCAATTAAGGTTGGGATTTTTTTTTTTAATCCTCACCTGAGGATATTTTCCCATTTATCTTCAGACAGAGTGGGAGGGGGAGAGAGTGAAACATGGAAGTGAGGGGGATGCATCGTCTGGCTGCCTCCCGCAGGACCCCGACCAGGGCTGGGGACAAACCGCAACCGAGGTACGTGCCCTTGGCTGGAATTGAACCCACGACTCATTGGTCCGTGGGCTGATGCTCTAACTGTTGAGCCAAACCGGCCAGGGCTAAAGTTGTTTTTTTAAAAGAGCTTTGCTCCAAGCCATTTTTGTTAGGCACCGAAAAGCAACCAGGCGGAGGCCTGCAGGCTGGGAGCTGGGAGCTGGCTGCAGAGCCCTGACCACAGGGGGCGTCCTAGGCTGGGAGCCAGCTGGCACCCACACCTCACAGCAGCAGCCCTTCCAGGCCAGGGCTGCATCACTGACGGGAACCAGGGCCCCGGGCAGGTGGGTGTCTGCAGAGGCCCGCCGTCCTGAAGTGCCGCAGCCCACCGCGAAGGACGCTCATGAGTCCACCTCTTTGGCCAGTTCAGGAGGAAACACCACGGAGCACTAAGGTGTTTATAAGGACAGCTGTCCATGTGACAGGCATCTGAAGTGGGGTCCCACCACTCGGGGCCCAGTCCAGCCCGGCTTCCTTCAGTGCACCTCGAGGGTCCCCACTAGGCACAGGGGAGCAGACAGACGGCCCCGGGGCTCACACAGGCTACAGCCATTATTTTAACCACTCTCTTCCCCAAATGTCAAATTCCTTGGAGACTTTGCGCTTCCTCATGTGCCCCCTGCAAAGCCACCCTGCCCCAACTGCCTTGACCATGACATCACCCAGGCTGCAGGCCAGGGTCACCAGAGTGGAAGTGGCCACTGCCTTGGCCATCGCCTTGTCCTGAGCCCTGACCTCTGCACCTGACCTCTCAGCACCTGCCACTCCTACCCTGGGGATCACCTCCCCTTTCTCGCTGAGGTCCACCCCACGCACCCCCTCCCCTTGCAAGAACACTCGGGACCCACTGTCCTGCAGCCTCCTGACCCCAGGCCAGGCTGGTCTCCAGCAAGTCTTTCTGCACACCAGACCACCTCCTGGCTACCGGGCTGAGGGCCCCCCGAGGCCTGCCCCTTCCTGCCACATCCCCAGACCCAGCCCAACACTTGGGGCCCACAGGTGCCAGGCACTGTTACAAAGGTCCCAGAAGAGTCCCCGAAAGTGAAGGGAGGATCTCAGGATGAGATTTCTCTAGGGAAGCCAGGCCACCATGTCCTTTCACTCAGGAGGCCTGGTGGTGGTGGTGGGGTGGGGGGGGCGGGTTTGTGGGCATAGAGCCCAGTCCTGCTCTGCCCACAGGCTTCCCAGCCAGAAAGAAGTTTGCAAACCCAGGCCCACCAGCATGGAGCCCTGATCGGGGCGGTGCCCACCTTGTGTTTCGGCTCCTCATCGTCCATCCTGGTTCCACCAGCATCGCTAAGGACAGGGCTCAGGAGTGGGGACGAGCCCCGCTCAGCGGGGCCCAGAGGCACCTGAAACACAGGGCTCAGGCTCAGTGGGCTCTTCCGGGCGGAGGGAGAAGGCTGAGGACTGTCCACGGAAAGGCCTGGAATTGAACAGGGCGGGGGTGGGGTGAGACATGAGAAGGGCCAGGATGCAGGCCAGACACCACCTATCTCACCAGGCGTGGCGGCTAGGCACCTTCCGGAAACTGAGGAAAGCTGCCAACACCTGCAGTGCCCAACATGACAGGAAGTGGACACGAGAGCAGGTCAGCAGCTGACCGATCCACTTCCAGACACAGGTCAGGACCCCTGGCTCTGAGGTCCTGGGCTCTCTCGGCTCTAGAGAGGGGGCGACTGAGAATCAGCAGCACAAGCCTGGGAAGCAGGACAGTCGGGGGGGCACCTTCCGGGTCGCGTCAGAGGTGGTCCAACTGATGCTAATGCATCTGGAAAACTGTTTTCAGGTAAACGCATCAACCCTCGATTAAAAATGGGATCCTATAAAATTACAGCTCATGCCCTGGCCGGTTTGGCTCAGCAGTTAGAGTGTCGGCCTGCAGTCCAGAGAGACCTGGGTTCGGTCCCCGCTGAGGGCATGTACCTTGGTTGCAGTTTGTCCCCGGCCCTGGTCGGTCGTGCGCTTGGCAGCCACTCGATGTGTCCCTTTCACGTCGATATTTCTCTCTCTCTCTTTCTTCCTCTCTCTCCCTCCCGCTCTATCTGAACAAAAAATGGAAAACTGTCCTCAGGTGAGGATAAAAAAATAAATAAAAAAAAAAAATTTAAAATAAATAAAATAAAATAAAATTACAGCTCATGATTCTGTTTTCTGCTTCCTTGAATTTCGCATTAACAAAGATTTTATTTTGGTTTTCTAGAATTATACCACAAAAGTAATTAATAATTAACTTTCCCCTTCTTAAAACAGCATTTGCCTTTGATGCAACAGAAGCCGACATTTTGGTCTAAAACGCCATGTGTTTCGTAATCAAGACATTTTCTTATCTGTTCTTTTTTTGTTTTAATTCTCAGAGGTTTAGTGCTCAGGTATTTCTGTGGGAAATCAGTAAGTATTTAATGCTGAATTTTATTTATTTATTTATTTAATCCTCACCTGAGGACATTTTTGTATTTATTTTCAGATAGAGCAAGAGGGAGAGAGGGAGAAAGAGAGAGAGAGAGAGAGAGAGAGAGAGAGAGACATCGATGTGAGAGGGACACATCAAGTGGTTGCCACCCACACGACCCAACCAGGGCCGGGGACAATCTGCAACCAAGGTATGTGCCCTTAGCGGGAACCGAACCTGTGACTCTCCGGTCCACAGGCCGATGCTCTAACCGCTGAGCCAAACCGGCCAGGGCCTAATGCTGAATTTTAAAGATACGGTGAGAGCAGTTTCAAGAAACTCAACTGCCGCTCACAAGCTCCTTGAGCTAGAGATCCACTTAGGTTCCTGAAGGGGCCGCGCTCTACGCCGAGCCACTGTTATTCCTGCCTACAATCGCGTCGCTTACAAACGCTGGGACAGAAGTGACCCAATTCCAGCCCATGGCGGCTGCTCACTCGCCCAACAATGGCATCAAAGCCAGACCCTCCAACACGACCGCCGGACTTCGGATGCAGTGACCAGCTTGCAGAACCAGCGCTGGTCTCTTTAGCCTAAACGTGGGGGTGTGTGGGCAGGTTGGCAGACAGGAGTGCAGAGAGCCCCCCACATGCCTGCGTCCTGCTCCCTGGATGGGTATGGGCCACGGACCCAGCTACCCTCCCCGGTGGCCTGAGGCTGGGGGGCCGTTATTTTCACATTGACAAATCTGGGGCTCAGACAGCACCAGGGTGCTTCCCCACTGCCAACGCTAGCAGTTTCCTCTGGAATCTCACCACTGACAGATTTGACACATGATGAAATACTCATTCACCTTAGAAAACCTGGACAAAGTAAAATATGAAATTATTAATCACCAGTTTATTAGAATTTGCTTTTATTAGACATTTAAAATATGCTAACCCATCTTAAAATAACGTAACATTCCTACACCCCTCTTCCCGCACCAGGCTGGGTGGATGCTGTCGGTTCTGAATGGCCTAAGCCCAAGGGAGGGTTCCGTGTGAGTCCCCAGCATGGTCACTCCCCACGTGGAGAAGGGGCGTATGTCCAAAGATTAGCTATTTAGGATTTGCACTCCAAAATCCTTTCTGTCCCTACAAAGCCCAAATTTGCACAATGAGATACCTTCACACACTGAAAATGTAGAACAAATGCAGACGTGACCAACAGCTCCTCTACTTGCCCTTCATGACTGTATCGTTCCAGGCGTGGGACCCAAGGCGTCTGCGCCCATTGGTGATGAAAGGACGTACGTACAAGGTCACTGTTCACGCTGAGCCTTCCGGCAGCGCACACGGCACCTCCCTCGGAGACGGGCAGTCTCACAGCAAGTTGCCAGTGGACAGTTCACTGAAAAGTTGTTGCAAAGTTTGACTTGACTTTTCAGTCACAGAAGGTGAGAGCTGAGATGATGTGAAGAGTCTGCTCCAGTGGCCACTGCGGGCTGGTGAAGCCGTCGCATCAGAGAATGGGGCCCAGTGAACAGCCCTCAGTGAAGAACTTGTATGAGAGGGAACCCGTCAGGACAGGCTGCTCATTTGGGAGGTTAAAAGTCATCGTGATGTCAGCACTGCGGACCTGTTGTTTCACAGAAACTGTCAACTCACCATTAGTGAACAGATTAAGAAGTGCCACAAACTGCCATTAAACACCTGTTAGCAACAGCACAACGTTGTAAGCCATACCTCCTTCAAACTCTGTACACACAGATCCTACAAGATCAAGGCAACACATCTGTGGGGAGCTGTTTTTTCGAGCAAGTGGCTTGCTTCCATCGGGCAGTCTGAGTGTGCACCCCAAGTGCCCTCTGTGCGGCAGTCTTCCTACCGTGTGTGTCGCTAACGCACACACCATGCCCAGAAACAAGCGCGGGCCGTGGCTCGGCAGGCCTCTCTCCAGAGGACGCTGGTGTGGCCAGGCTCCTCGGTCGCACTGAGACAATGTGCCGGGTGGAAGCTGAGCGCCCTCCTGCCATGGAAAATCCTGCCCACGTTCGGTGAGAGCGCCCAGGTAAAAGGCAGGTGTCTTCAGAATTGTTCAAATGCTAAACATCAAGATTTAGGTGTCACAGAATGTGTTTTGCCTTAACCGACATGGTGAACATGAACCTGAAATATCTGTGAAAACAGACCCCGGTGTCCAAGGCCCTCCACTGAGCAACAGGCAGGAAGTGTCGACGTGGCTGAGTGACGAGTCCCCGTGACGGCACCCACTTGGACACGGCGTGTGTGCAGACACCGTGGGATCGAGGCCGACGGAGCCCTCCACCTGTCGACAAGGCATCCCTGGAAAGTCTTCAGTTTTCAAAATCAAGTTATTTGAAACAGACACAAGAGGTGGTTGCTTCACCGAGCGCGGCATGTCCGTCGGAGCGGGTCAGACTGTCCGCTGTGTCCGCAGGCAGGCTCCTCTCTCAAAGCTGCAAGTCACGGAAAGTGCTGACGTGGAAAACCCCCCGTCAGACCGGGCATGGGCACCTCTGGCAGCTGGTTTTCTTTTTTTCTTTTTTAAGTCCTCATCCCAGGATATTTTTGCATTTTTAGACAGAGTGACAGGGAAGGAGGGAGAGAGAAACACTGATTTGAGAGACACCTCAACTGGTTGCCTCCAGCAGGACCTGGACCAGGGCCGGGGTGGCAGCTGGTTTTCCTTGCCTCATTTGTTGTTTCCAAAAATTCCTAAATATTCGTCTTACAATTTTTGAAGTGTCATTTTAAAAGCGCAGGGTAACCTCAGTGCTTACCTCCACACGCTGCATCTGGGTGACGGACACGTATCAGTTAGAGGAAAGTTGAGCTCACTTCTTCTAACTCACGCCTTGAAATCCTCCTCATCGAATCTCGATAACAACCTTGACGACGTCTGCCTGACAGTGGAGGAAGAATCGGCTCGTTCGGAAGACTCGGGTAAGTCTGAGGGCTCGCGTGACAGCAGCAGGTGAGGGACCCAGAAGCTCCTTCCTTAGCACGAGCGATGACCCAGTAGTCCCGGAGGAAAGGAACGGCCGACTTGTCCAAAGAACCCAGGCGAATGTGAGCTGGCTGCGTAGTCAGCTGAAAACCACCTCTGGCTTCATTTTTGTCCTGGAATGTCATGAGTCACTTTACACAAAATTTGGCTCAAAAACCAAAGTGGAAGGAAGAAAAACAGCTCCGGAGAGGCCTGTCAGCTCATCCTACTGTGAGTTCCTGGCTCTTCTCCATCGACAACACAGCAGCCGACGACCCACATGCTGGGGCCCCTCCGCGGGCCGTGGGCCTACGCAAGGAGACACCCACGGAGCTCGGAGAGGGTGCCTGGCCCGTGGCCCACGCGGTAGATGGAGATGTGGCTGTGCTGACCTGAAGTTCAGAGGGTGACGTCAACATGCACAGTGCTCCCAAGAAGCATTTTTTCAGTTTTTTTGTTTTACTCTAAACAATCAGGATTCTTTCCTTGATAGAAAAGCAGGCACCCTGACCAACACCACAGTGGGTGCCCGCCAGGTGCAGGGTCCCCTGCCTGCGTTGTATGGTGGCCCAGAGCCCTGCATCTTCATTCTCATAAACGACGCCTTTGTCTCCAGCTTTGAGAAGCTCTGACTTAAGGATCCTCTAAACTACTGGATCGATGGTGGCAAGGTCCCCAAAGCAAATCATTCAATAAACTAAAGCCTGTAGGTGACTTTCATTAGGAAAGAATGTAATCTGGTGTAACATACTTCGAATGAGAAGGCCACGCAGCGGTACCCCGACAAGGCCGCCGCAGAGCTCAGAGAAACACCTCTGCGCACCTCTTCACAGAGATTCGTCACAGAGGCGCCTCTCCAGGGAGCCACCCACTCACATCGCCACTTCGTCCCTGAGCTGGGCACTGGGCACTGGAGGCCTCAGTCTGGAGTGGGAGGGAAATGCCTCACCACCCTCTTCTCTAAGCGGGGAGACTGCCCGCCCACGGTCCTGGGAGTTTGTGCCGACAGGGGCTTTTCTAGGCCCCTGAGGTGTGCCAGGCGC